CTCAAATATTTATTCCGCAGTATTGCCCCCGCCAATTTGCAATTTCAAATCCCGAGTCCACCTGTGTATGGTGTAAGTTGCTAGAAGTATCCACTAACATGTTGCATGTCAGGTGAGACGGAAGAAGAGTTCTCGACAAGGTTGGCCAATAATTTGGAAAATATTATATTCAAAGAGGGACCTGAAACTGTAATTTTCATCTACTTTTATCGCTTATTGTGTTTCCTTTGCAAATTTAATCGCAGTGAGTGTTTACACCAAATCAATATACGTATTATATGTGTATATGCATAGGTTTTTCTCGCTCAGTTGTCATTAATCAATGTATATTATCACTTTATTAAATAATTTAACCATGGTAAATTGATACGGTTTGGTGAAAACAACGGATACATATAAATTGTTACTATATATAGGTGGTGAACTGATGATGATTAATTTACTCGTTCACTTAGGTAGCTGCTTTTATTGCCGAACCTGTCATTGGGGGAGGAGGTGTCATACCTCCTCCAGCAAGCTATTTTGATAAGGTGAGATTTCCTTTTCATTTTATAGATAGAAACATATACAATAACTAAGAATTATAAGCTTTTTAATTTGTATTAACAAAGATTGTTGAATAGGGCAACAATACATCACCTCCCCTCTGCCTTTTCTTTGATATTTGATTAATGAAATGCATGATAGAAGGATTTAAGTTATTGTAAGCATTAAAAATGAAATGCATGATAGAATGATAGAAATATATGTATATATGTATAATATGTGTATAAAATGTATAATTATATATAATTAGTACATAATTCATGTATACCAGATAAAAAGTAAACAATGAATATTGCGTCATAGTGTTTATACTTACAAATAGCTGAAGCAATAACTCTTCCTACTCATTTTTAGATCCAAGTTGTTCTCAAGAAGTATGACATTCTACTTATTGCGGATGAGGTCATATGTGGATTTGGAAGGCTTGGGACAATGTTTGGCTGTGATAAGTACAACATCAAACCTGATCTTGTCTCTTTAGCAAAGGTAGATTAAATAGCTATGTTCAATTTATGCAAATTACAGCCTACTTTTAATTCAAAAATATTAAAAATTTCAAGAATCTATATACTATCAATGTATTTTAACATGTTATCGAGGGTTGTCTATTGCAATTTTTGAGTAATCAATTAGAGTTATTATAGACATTTACTCTTTGTTGTAGGTCATCTTTAATTTTGGAGTTAGGTTGAAGAAGGGATATTAAATCCTCTTTGATGAAAAATTATACTGTATAAATAGAATAAAAATGATTTTCTTGGTTAAGTATAAGCCGTTAAATTTCCTTGACCATAAGAGAAAATTCTAGTGACGTGAAACGAGGGTTAAAGAATTGCTACTTTGAATCTCCTTGTATAAATTTTTGACTGCGGTGCTGATCATCTTTTACACTACTGATGCGTAGAAGTGAAACTTATATCTAAATTCCGGATATGTATCCCTTTAAATGTTCTTTCAGGCACTTTCATCTGGATATATACCAATTGGTGCTGTCCTTGTAAGCCCTGAAGTTTCTGATGTTATACATTCTGAAAGCAATAAAATTGGTGAGGATAATATCAATTCGATAGGATATAAAATCCTCTTCTTTTTGTTAACCAAATCTTCTTCATTTGTTTTTATTTTTATATTTGCAACTAGGTTCTTTTCCCCATGGATTTACGTATTCTGGGCATCCAGTCGCGTGTGCGGTTGCCTTGGAAGCACTGAAGATCTACAAGTATGTAACCTTTCTTTTTCTGACTGAAAATCTGTTTTCGAAAAACAATCCCCATCTAATTTACTTTCAACAATCACTGCTTGTTGTTGGTAGTATAATTGAGTGACCCGACATTTGACTTGATAATCACTAATTAACAAAATACTCTATTAGTTTCAGTTTGTCGAGGGTCTATCAGATATAGCCTATCTACCTTCACACGGTAGGGGTAAGGTCTGCGTACACATTATCCTCCTTGACCCTACTTGTTGGATTACACTGAGTTTTTTTTTGTTGTTGTTTCAACTATATATATATGACCTTATTTTCTTTTCAGTCTATTTAAAAAAGAATGGTTCCTTTTTAAAACTAGAAAAAATTTAACTTAAACTTCTCATCTTATCCTTAATGAGTAGCTATTTATAGCCACACAGATGTTATTACATGTTTAAGATTACAAGTTTTGATATTCATATTTTATTCTTATACTGTGTAGCGAGACAAACTACGATATATATATTGAAATGGAGGGGCAGTAGTTTCCCAACTTGGATATTGAACTTACATACCGCTTAAGCACTGAAAAAGATTCAAATTATTTTTCAGGGAAAGAAATATTATTGAGATAGTGAACAAAATATCACCAAAGTTCCAAGAAGGTCTGAAAGCATTTTCCGACAGTCCCATAATCGGGGAGGTATAGTAATTATCATGATAGAAGTAGGCTACTTAAAATGTCTTAATTACCTATTAATTATTTTATTTTTATCAAATATTTTTTGTTCTTTTTTTCAGATAAGGGGAATTGGTTTGGTACTTTCTACAGAGTTTGTAGATAACAAATCTCCTAATGATCCCTTTCCTCCTGAATGGGGTATGTTTTATATCTCTCGTCTTATCTGAGGTTAAGTTAAATTCTATGAATAAGGGCTAAATATATTCTTGTACTATGAGAAATAGTTTAAATAATCCCTCCATTTCAGTATTCGTCTATAGATAACCTCACTATTATACAATTACTCAAATTTGCCCCTAATACTAATGGAGGGGACACATGGGGATTGTTGGTCCATATTATTATGTATTTGTTTGGGGGGGGGGGAAGCAAATCTCCGTGTATCTGACATTGATGGNGGGGGGGGGGGGGGGTATGGGTCAGATAATGGGTTAAATTAAGGGGTGAATTTGTAAAAGAACCGGATATTATATTTTGGGGTGGGTTTGAGTTTCTGGCCTGCCACGTGTCTCCTATGTTAGCATTAGGAGTAAATTTGAGCAATTGTATAACGGTGAGGTTAGCTATCGACGAATACTCAAATGGAAGGTCATTTTAAACTATTTATCATAGAACATGCATATATTTGGTACTTTTTAGTAAATTCTAAGCTTAATTTGAGAAATTGTTCATTCTTTACTTAGGTGTTGGTCCATATTTTGGAGCACAGTGTGAGAAGTACGGGATGTTGGTAAGTTGTGTTGGCGATTACATAAATATGGCTCCTCCATTTACTTTGAGTCTTGACGAACTTGACGAGGTAAGTTCCTGGGAAATGCATTTGATAGTATTACTTTGCATTTGTTAAAAATATATTAAGAATCACATTTATATTCACTACAAAAAATAAAGTTTTCCAACGGTGATCAACTTTTAGTGGCGACTCCTTTAGTCGTCGCAAAAGTAAGGGTTTTCATGGCGAATTTAAGGAGTCACTAGGGGGAAGTCTCAGTGACTCATCTTTTCACCTATGTGGCGACTCATTTCTTGTGATCATTTGAATGCTGTTGGTTTCCTTGGAATTTTTTTATGATCAATTTTTCTCGGATTACATTCTCGTTTCATGCAAACTGAAAAAACAGTTCTCGTTTTTGCAGTTGATAAGCATATATGGGAAAGCACTGAAGGATACCGAAAAGAGAGTGGAAGAACTGAAGTCCCAAAAGAAGGAAATGATGATGGCAAAAGCATGAAAACAACAGAAGAACAAAAGAGGAACAAAAAAAATTCTAAGTCCCCAGACTCTGTTAGCTACTCTTAGATGTCTAATTTAGATCAAAATATTAACTAGGCCAGAATCCGAAACTAACTGGGATCCGTTATATGAATCCTCTATATTTATTCGGAGGATTTATCATAGTTAGACTTGTTTTATTCTGGTCGTCTACATCGACTTGTTAGTAAACTTTGTGCTTTAAACTGCTTAAGCTTTGCTAAATAAATTCAAAAAAATTTCCATTTTCAAGTTGCTCTACTCTTTCTTCTTATTGCTACTTACTAATAATGTTGGTTGCAGCTTTGAAGGGGAGCATTCGCGTAACTGGTAAAGTTATTTACATGTGACCAGGAGGTCACGAGTTCGAGCCGTGAAAATAGTCTTTTGTAGAAATGCAGGGTAAAACTGCGTACAATAGACCACAATAGACTCTTGTGGTCCGGCCCTTCCCCGGACCCGCGCATAGCGGGAGCTTAGTGCACCGAGCAGCTTTGCACTCCGAATTTTCTATTGAAGGAGTCGGTTCAATTGATTCCAATGATGTTGATCAAAAGAGGCGAGCGAAATGGGAGCAGCCTAAACTGTGAAAAACGGGGTTATGGGAGAGAAAGCAAGCATCTTGCTGCTGGGCGAAGCAAGCCCTAATGCAGCACCTAGATAGCGAAAGTCCATCACGGGTTCGAGCCGTGGAATCAGTCACTGATACTTGCATCAGGGTAGGGTGCCTACATCACACCCCTTGGGGTGCGGCGCTTCCCCGGACCCTGCGTGAATACGGGATACTTTGTTCACTGCACATTTGATGGCATATATCAGGACATCTTTTAGAAGGGTCATTGAACAATATTGCACTATCTTATGAAGCTCAAGGTCAATGCTCAGTTTCCTAGTTCCTACGCACTTTCTCTGCGACATGGGAAAATCACAAAGCAACAACTCAATAAGTAATTCCTCTATCCCAATGTATGTGACACTTTTTAGTTTTGGAATAAAATTGAACTCTGTTATTTATTTGCTAGTTCATTTTTATGCAATTCCATTCATTTATCTCTTAATCCTACTAGAAGTTATATGTTCTTACTCTGTGTCTACTTTCCATTTTAACTATACATGCATCCGATTAGCTGTTTGTAAATTATCTGGTGCTTAACAAATCATGGATCAGGTGCGCCGATCACGGCCTATGGGTTTTGGATCGGGATACTAATGAAGTAAAAATTTATACATGATCAGTATACAAAGCTTAAAATCATTAACTATAATGTTGGTGTACATATTAAACAACTCTCCAAGTTCAAATATACTACCATAGGTTTGGTTGTATTTAGTGCTATAGTTGCCATAAGTATTGCTGCAAAATCTATGATTGTCATGGAGTTGCCACGAGTCCGGCCACGAGTCCGGTTTGAGGAGGTTAGTGTGTACGTAGATCTTACCGCTACCTTAAGAAGGGAGAGAGTATGCTTCAGATAGACCCTTGGCTGAAGGAAAGATGAAAAGAAGCAGTGGCAACATGCAATAACAACAACAAAATACTAAGAAATCCTAAGCGGAAGATAATAAAAAAACAACATATAGTAATAGTAATTTAAAAATAAGAAAAATACTAGACTAATACTAAAACCACATATATGAAAAAAATCAACGCTCGACTATCTATTAACTTTCTATCCTAATGCTCGACCTCCATACCCTCCTATCAAAGGTTATATCCTCGGTAAGCTGAAACAGCACCATGTCCTGTCTAATCGTCTCTCCCCAATACTTCTTTGGCCGGCCTCTATATCTCCTTATACACTCCAAGGCCAACCTCTCACACTTCCTTACTGGAGCATATGTGCCTATCCTCTTCACCCATGCCACTCCACCTTGTCCTGAATGTCGTCATTCCTAAATATATTCTCTACTAAACAAATTTTAATTAATTGCTAAACTAAAATTTTCCCTATTTACAGATCCACAATTCAAGTCCATAGGGAATTGTGTACAAAACTTAAACTCACCAATTATAACATTGGCGTACAAATTACACAACTCTTAAATTAAAGTTCAAAGATACTACCAAAGGTACTAGTTTTTTAGTTCTGTAATTGCAATAAGTATCGCTGCTAAATCGAACAAGTACGGTATTTGTTTACTTTTGCTACTTTGTTTGACTCGTCTAAATTTTTGAAATGATGTCTTTCATATTCAAACTAAACATGCCAAAGACCAAAAAAATTAAGAAAAGCAGACAACATTTTTACAGGACTCCAAAAGTGTCACGAGGACCAAGTTAAAGTCATCTTTGTAACCACCTACTACGCACTCATAGTGGCCGAAATTGCAATTGACAGTGACAAGGAACAAATAAATTAAATAGAACTATAGTACTAGAATTTGGATTCACATTTATGCTAACATTTTGTTTCGAGCCGTTGTCATTATAGGCGTAGTCAAAATTTAAAGTTTATCGGGTTTGAACTTGTCATCGACCCATAATTTGTTTTAGTTGTTAAGTTCACAAAATATTTATACATATTCAATAATTTTTAATACTTATACAATCTAAACAAAAATTAATGAATTTGTCTGAATTCATACCTAATACTGTAGCCCGAAATCTAGAGTATCATTTATAAGTTCACTTGGAACACAATAACTTTTGTCAGATCCTTTACATAATTAAGAAATATGCTAAATATCTCAAATATTTGATTGTAACTCAATTATTAATATCGTATATTAACTTGACGTCGTTATAGGAACATATAAACTTCAAATTTTGGATCCGCCTCGATAGCCCGCCCCCGAGTTGTCGTCATTGCTTTCATCTTTCATCTCAGACCTGTTGCTTCCTGGAAACCAGCACTTAGCATTCTTTAACTAAGCTGGCATTACTGCTTCCAGAAGCCTTACTCCCCGGCAACCTATTACTATGTATACGGTCAAAAACGATTAGTCCATTGTATGGACTGGTCGGTATGATAATACTTTGATCGAAGGGCGGTTTTGTAATACCAGGCAGAGGTCTGAAATCAGGTAATCAAGCTTCAAGTTCTAGGACCGATCAATGACAAGCTCAGTATCATTATCGAGCTCGTATCGAAATCGAACTACGGGGCGAGGTGAAATTATCGAGCCTAAGATGCATAGACCGACCGACACCGACTCCGAATCAATACCAGACTCCGAGTCAGAATTGAACTCGAGTCAAGATCGAGAGCTCGAGTCAATATCGAGCTCACAAACAAGAGTGATTGCAATTACACTAGGAGAGTAGGAGAGAGAATCCTGGCAGGAATTAGGAAAAAACTAGTTCCTCATGGGTTTCCCACTATGTATTTTTTATTATATCTAAAGTAGGATCCCTCCGTTATGAAGGTGATGATTGTTGTTTCTATGAGGAGGACATTCACGCATTGTTATAAAAGATTATTCCTTATATTGAAAGACCAATCCTTTAAGCTCTCTTACTTCATTTATTTCCTCTTTTCAACAGTTTTTATCTTTCGTTCTTATAGTCAAGATTGGATATTTCTATTTTTCTTTACGATTTGTATCAAGCTATACCACAAACCCTTAGAACTACGTACAAATTTAACTCTATCTGATTTTTCGGGTAAACATACTAATAAATCAGATAACATTGTTGAATATTCAAAATAGAGCAGTTTTCTTTCCTTTTATATGAATGTAAGATCCAATCAAATACTTCCTCCGATCTACTTTAATTAATTTTTTAGCCTTTTTTTTTTTGTAGTTCATGATATTTGATTTTTTTTTATATCAAGAAGGAATTAACTTCTTTTTTTTAAAGTTAACCTTGCAGTAAAAAGTCTCGGAGTACGTATCTATTATATTTTCAATGAACAAATTAAAAAGGCATAGTAAAGGTTAATATGGTAAATTTTATTGTTAATTAATGTTAGAAGGTGAATTCCTTAATATATATGAAAATAACTTAGTTAAAAAATTAATTAAGGCAGACAGTATGGAGTAATAAAGTACGACACATAAAATCATGGCTGAAATTGTGATTCTTGGATCACTGAACTATCCTTTATGGAAATCCAATTGGTAATAAGGATTTACATAAATAGTTTTCAGTGATTTCGGATTAAACATTTTTTTTTTGGATAATGTTTTCGAAATAAACTTGAGGATTAAAGTTGCTCCCTATAGGTTAAATTACAAGATAATTTGAACAGTTCAATTGTTACTAAGTTTGTCACGACTCGAATTTCGACTAGTCGTGATGACACCTAACCCAACCCGCTAGGTAACCCAATTAACCACTAACCAATTTCAATAACAATTAATAAAGTAATTAAGTAAAGAAATATCTGAATCTTATACATTTCCCCAAAGACTGGTAGTACAAATCATGAGCTTCTAAGAATAGTGTTTATAAAGCTGGTATGAAGTAAATATATCATCTATTTGAAAATTACATAAACAGAGTTTTATGAATCTAAGGCTACCATGAACAAGAGGCAGCTACAACCGGAACGCAGGTACATCTTCAAATCCAGTGTCCAACGAATACAGTAACATCAGCAGCCAACATCTGCACGCAAGGTGCAGAAGTGTAGTATGAGTACAACCGACTCCATGTACTCAATAAGTAATAAACCTAACCTTAGGTTGAAAGCAGTGACGAGCTTGTACCAAGGTCAGAGTCCAACTCTAATAACCAACAACAATTCATGACAATATAACGCAAGTAATAAAAGAAGTAACTCAAAGATAAAATGCTCAGCTTAATCATGATTTCTGAAATATTTTTTCCTTTCAAGTATATCAGTGAAAACTCAAATCGTTTATCGAAGTTGCCAAAATTATGAGTAAGTTTGAAAACAGTAATTTTTCCAAAAATCCTTTCAATAATAAATAAGATGTTTTATTTTCTTTCCAAATAGCTAGAATAATACAAATGCATCACTATGCCTATGTGTCAACATGTGTGAGAAGTCATGAATAACGCGATGCCGTACAACATGAGGAAAATACATCTCTATGCTTGTATGTCATGAGTGCATGTCAATGCAATGTATCTCAGAGATGAACTCATGTACTCACACTCTCAGAGTACTCAATCTCACTTTCTCACACATTTCACTCATCATGCTCAATCACTCGGTACTGTATATGGCCAATCTGACCCAGGTAAGATCCATCCCGGAATATACACATCAACTGATCATTAGTCACTCAGTACCGAGTAGGGCCAATCCAGCCCGTGGAGAACATCCATCTCCATGTATATA